GAATGGAACTTCTGACTTTTATTTTTTTTTTTGAAAACTTGTCTTCTGAACTTTGAATTGGGATAGATTTATGATTCATTTATTTCATTTTTATTTAGTAAATTGTAGGTTCCAGTAGAATAACCATATTTTTAATGTTGCATGTTGTTTACTTCTTGCATGATATTTATATTGTTGTTGCTACTATGACATACTTACTATGCATGCATCAAAATGATGTACATATATTAAAATTAATATCATTACTATAGATCTTGTATTTTGTTTATGTTTTTTAAGTCATTAAAGCAGAGTTAATGCAAAAATATTTTTTGTGCATGAGTGTCTCACAAAAGAAAATTTTAAATTAAATAAAATCTTGTTCTGATCCTATTTAAGAGTATTTACATTAGTGTTTAAAGCTTTTCTTAGTTAAATAATGGCTAAGTGTATAAGAATAAGTTTTTATTCACATTAAAATGTAAATCAAATACATAAATTATAGAAAGTATATGCAATGTTCTGTCACACATTTAATACTAAAAGTTATTGAATCACATGTATTTATGTAGCAAATTTTATCGCAAATATAATACTGAGGAGTAATCTACCTCCTCGACATTTAATACTAAAAGTTATTGAATCACATGTATTTATTTAGCAAATTTTATCGCAAATTTAATACTGAGGAGTGATCTACCTCCTCGACATTTAATACTAAAAGTTATTGAATCACATGTATTTATTTAGCAAATTTTATCGCAAATATAATACTGAGAAGTGATCTACCTCCTCGCCGTGTACACTTCTAACATATTTCTATGATATATAGTGATAATCAATGCACTTTTATTTATTTCATTTAATGCCCAGCAATTATTTCAGCAATTTATTCATTATTCCCAGCAATTTATTTCATTTAATGCCAGCAATTCATTTAATGCCCATTTAATTGCATTAGAAATCATCATGATTGATACAGGTTCAATTCTAACAAAATAATATATAAGTCATCTCTGATAGAGTTAGCTATATAGGAAAAAAATTCAGGTAAAGAAGAGTTAATTACTATATAGCAGGGATGGCGAATCAATGGCATTTTTTTCTCAATGTAATTAAAGAGTTTTCAGTTGATAGTATTTAGCATTATTATTTTCCCAATAATCACGAAGGCAAAATTATTTGACGGCACGTCTATGACCTCATTAAAAAAATTTTGGAAAAAATGGCACGTTGGTGTATAAAGGCTCGCCACCCCTGCTATATAGAATATAAAATAAATAAGTTTTACATTATTTCACTGATATCAACAGGGTGCTCTACAAATGGGGAGCTGAAATTTGTAAGTAAAACAGACACTATATTCTTAGAACAGCAAATAACAGGTATGCATTTAGCATGTGATTTGCACATGCACGAGGCGTGCTTCTTACATGTAGTTTTTAAACAGTCACTCGTATATGTAAAACATTTGAATATAATGTTGGTTAATGAACTCACTGCTAAGCCTCATGGTCTTGAGATAGAGTAGTGGATTCATAAATTATAGTTTTTAAAGAAATATTTTTCACCCAATACAAACTATAAGAAAGACTGCAAGAAATATTAGATTTTCACATGCTTATGTCTAAGCTGAGATAAGTTTTTACCTGAAATTATATGCATTGAAATAAGATAAGTGGCAATGAATTAAAAAAAGAAAAAAATAACCTAACACATTATTTAAAAACAAGAAAAAAAATAAAGCATTTACGCAGGATATTTATTACAGTAGAGAACCAATTATCCGGGATGCTCGGGACCATCGCTATCCCGGATATCTGAATTTCCCGGTTTTCTGGATCGACCGAAAAGTGTCGTTAATCGATGTTTTATCGAACCCGAAGTTCAAGGAAAAAGTGTAATGCATAAAGTAAGAGAAAAAAGAAAGGTACTCCTAACTTTAAAAAGAAAAAAAAAATGGTCGAAATATAACATTTAAAAGAATAAAAAAATTTGCAAGTTTAGACAAGAAAATCAAGTTTAAAAAATACAAAATTCTCACATTTATTTTTTAAAAATAATTACAATACC